CCCTCCCTCTATCTGCCATCTGCAGCAACTTTCTGTCAACCACCAGTTTCACTCAGCACAGGAAATTCTCCCCATTTTCAGACCACAGCTCATCAGAAGTGAAAGCAGCTCTCCCAGAGCCCTGCAAACAGGCCATGAAAAGCCAAAACAAATGCTTTCTCAGGACACAGGGTGCTCGTGCTTCTTGCCTGTGGCTTGGTAACTGCACACAGAGCTACAGAAATCTGATGAATTCCCACAAACAGACGTTCCTGTTACCAGTGGATGCCCTGCTCCTCTACTGGGACCAGTTCTGGCTCTGACCAAGACTCACTTGAGCACCATCTGATCCCTATGAACAAACCCAAAGCACACTTAAAAACTTTTTTAAAGGTAAAAGAGGGTCAATTTAGATTAGATATGAGGAAGAAGTGTTTTGCAGTGAGGGTGGGCAGGCCCTGGCACAGGTTGCCCAGAGAAGCTGTGGCTGCCCCTGGATCCCTGGAAGTGTCCAAGGCCAGGTTGGATGGGGCTTGGAGCAATCTGGGCTAGTGGAAGGTGTCCCTGCCCATGGCAGAGGGTGGGACTGGATGATCTCTAACGTCCCTTCCAACCCAAACCATGCTGTGATTTTTAGACAGCACTGCCACATTTGGTCTTCCCCCAAATCAGCACAGCCCCAGGCTCCTTTCCCTAGGATTAATGCTGGAATATGAACCAGGACACACTGACCCAGTGCTCACCACCTCCACAGTTCTGCAGCTTCAGAGCAGCCTTTTTGCGCCCTTTAGATGGCAGCAGCTTTCTGAAAGCTGTGGGAACACTTGGGTAAGGGAAAAAAAAGATGTGAGTCTGGGAGATGAATCTGGGTGAGCAGGAGGTCAGAGACAGAGCTGGGTGTGCTCACACTGCCCAAACACACACACAGGCTTGACGGATGCACCTCTAGAGCTGGCCAGTAGTGCCAAATAAATGCAAGGAACACATCTAAAACGACACAAAGAGCTGTGTGGTGATTTCTGGAGGGACTGTTAATCCTTTTCTACACAGGTTGCTGTGTACAAGCATCAGTTCCATCAGCAGGACTCAGCCCTGGACCCACCTGGGCTGACAGGGGCCACCAGGCAGCAGCTCAGCGGGGACAGAGGTGCCAGCAGGGCACGTGTGATCTCACACTGAAACCTTCAGATCAGCCACCCCCAGGTAAAAATGTGCGCTGCTTTTCCACCAGCATCCCCGAGGGGTTTGCTTGCAAGTTCCCTGCATCTCTCACACATTCCTGCAAGGAAGCTTTGGACATCCTTTCCAAGAGAAGGAAACACCGCCTAGGTCTGGACACCAGTAACACAAGGTTCCTAAGAAATACGAGTGTCCACCACCGAATTCATCACTTCCTGCATTCTCCTTCCTCAGCTGTGCTCAAGACAACATTCCTTTGAATTTCTGCTGAGCTGTCCCTGGAGAACAGCTCAGCCCTCCAGAGTTCAGCCTTCCACCACCCTCTGCTCGCTCCTGCCCTTATCTGCATTGCATAAAACATGAAAGTGAAAATCAGAACACAATCTCCCCAGGGGTGCAGAGACAGAGGGCAAAAGCCAGAACCAGTAGAACAAGTGGCCCCCACAAACCTGCCCTTTCCCTGAGCTGGTAGGAAAGGGATGTCTCGGATTAACACTTCATAAAGCTGGTTGATTGAAATAAAATGAGGCCCCCTCAAATGAAAGAACAGACCACTGTGTCCAAAAGCATCCAGAGGTTTTTGCAGCCAACTGGGACACACCCTTGGCTGGAGCTCCCTCAGCAAAGGTTAAGCCCCCTCTAAGGTGCTGGGCTTCCAAACCACCTTCCAAACCATCAGCCACATCCAGCCCATCACCTATGGGACTCAACCCCACACAAGAGACATTTAACACCCCAAACCACCCACTGGATCTCAGATATTCCTTGTTCAGAGGAGCCACATCAGGGCATTTGGATCCAATTAGTTTTCCTAATCTGCCCTGAAAGGCAGCCAGGGCTGAAGCTGCTCCAGCTGCACATGTGGCTTAGAGCAGGAAAGGCACAAGTCCCTCAGAACATCCTCTTCAGGATCTCTTTCCCAATAGTGCTGTTCCTCACTCCAAAAGCAAAAATCACTCCACTGAATTTTTCCTTCTCAGCAAAACTGATCATGTAGAAACCTTTGCTTCCCATCTCCAGCCACAGATTAACAAACCCCTTGGCAAGTTTGTAAGCAGAGCCTATGGTTTAGACAGAATAAAATTCCTTGATTGTTTGTGGAGGTTTTGGTGTGGGTTTTTTTTTTGTTAGGAGCAAAGAAAGTCCATGCTACAGAAAACCATCCAGCTCACACAGACACCTCCCTGTGCTGCAGCAAAGCGTTCCTTTGGCACATCCAAGCTGCAGCCAGGAGCCAGAGCTGAGAGGAATGTCACACCCCAGGGGCAGACACAGGCAGCAGTGTTTGGAGCCAGCCTGGGACCATTGGTGCTCCACACCAGCACCAACCCAGCTGGGCTGCGCACACACCCAAGGCCCCTGAACGTTTGGAATCACAAGATCTCACATTTTGGGGAGGAAATATTTCTTTGCCCGGCTTTCCCTGCTGCTCCTCCATGCCCTGAGGTCAGCAATGAAGGCAGCCCAGACCCCACAGCCCAAGGCAGACCTGCTGCTCTCCCAATTTTGGCACGTCAGTGCTCGCCTGACCTGGCACAGGGCACCAGCAAGAGCTGGCACTGCTGTCCTGTGGGCAGAGCAGCTCTTGCACACCACAGCAGCACTGCCAGCACACCCCAGGGACTGCAGGCCCCACAGAGATTTTAATTAGGACCCTCTTTCGTGGTCCAGGTCCATCCCTCACTGTCAGTCCTCATCAGGTGACACAGCAGAGGACAGCACAGAGGAGAAGTGAGATAATTCCTGCTCCTTGGCTTGTGGAAGTGAGGAAAGTTTGTGGAGCTCAGCTGAGGATCTCACCCATTTGGGCCTTCCTTTGGGCTGAAGTTCAAAGAGATCTGAAGGTTAAACACTCAGCTCTTGTCCAGCTCTGGGGTAGCTGGAGAAGAACCCAGATAACCAGTGCTGGCCCCAAGTGGTGACTGAGGAATGAGTGGGGATGGGTCTGGCTGGGCAGGACAGACCCTCAGAGGAGCACCCAACACCCAGCTATCTCCTGCTGGCCCATGGGTACCTCAGAGCAGCCTCCAGCCTTCCTTAAGAATAGGGAAAAGCAGTCAGAGCATCTCAATTTCCTGATCATGCTTCAATTGCTATTTAACCTGCCCTCTGAATCCGTTTTTCCACTATCCAAAATGAACAGACATTCCTTTCAGCAGAACCAGCCAGGGCTGCACTGAACTGCCTGAGCCCCTGCAGAGCTCCTGACTCCAGCTCTGGCCAAGCCAGCCCACAGAGGCACGGGAGGAAGCGAAGGGCCCAGGGCTTATCCAGCAGCTCCCAATCCAACATCTGCTTCCCATGTTCCCCTGGGCAGGGCTCCAAGTGCATGGAGCACATCCATCTGCCTGCCTGTCTGTCTGTCTGTCTGCATGTCTCCTCCAACACTCCTTGACCACCGATCCCAGCAAAGCGTGGTGGAGCAGAGGAAAAAGCAGCTCCCCCAAGAAAAGCACCTCATCCCCTGGGGCAAAGTGAGGCTGCCAAATCAGAGCTGCCAGTGGGACAAGCAGGGAGCCCTGCCCAAGAAACAGGGCTGTGGAGCAGCTCAACCTCAGCAAGAGGAAACCAGAGGCACACAGGGCATCCTCGCCCACAGCAGGCAGGGCTGGCATAACCCTTCCACCTGGCTGGAAACAGAAACCTCTGCAGGTGGGGTATGGACAGGGCTGGAGGATCCAGGGGGAGCAAGGAGCCCACAAGGGAGCCAGTCCCACCCACCCTGAGGTGTCTGGAGCAGGATTGCACCTCAGCACGTTGTTTGGCTTCAGGACAGCCTGACCCTCACCCAGCCCTGGCCTGAGGGAGCCCGTGGGGCTGTGGAGTCACACACTAGTCTAGTCCTGATGAAAAATAACTGATCCCTTTCAGGATGGCAAGTGCCCCACAGCCCCAAGGCCAGCTGATCAACACACCCAGTCAGATGTGGTGGCATCCAAGTTTTTTAAACCAAAACATCAACCTCTCCAGATGGAAACGTCCTTGTGCTGCAAATTCTGCTTGGAAAACAAGGAGGACAGGCCAGGATCGTGGTCCTGCTTTTGCACTTGGGAGACCACACCTAACCATGGGATTCATTGGCCAGAGATGGCAGGAAATGGTACAGGAAGGTCCTGGGGGTGGGAGAGAGACAAGGACCTGTCAGAGGTCCCACTACAGGATTCACCTGCAGCATCAGGGACTGTCTTAGGTGGAAGAGCATCTTCACCTGCACTTACAGCCCCACAGGCAGCCACAGAGGCTGAGCCAAAACATTCCCACCCCCAGGCAGAGGCCTCAAAAGCACCCAGAGATGTAGCAGGTACATGCAAATACACGACTGCAAGAAGGTAGAAAAGACCCAGGGAAATGCAGAACACCAAGAGTCAAACTGTAGATTCCGTCATCACTGAATTGCACCCCAGATTCCACCCTCACTCACGTCCTACACGAGTGTAGGAATGACACCCTGCACACCCACGGGCGGGCTCTGATGGCTCTGCAGAGCCCGGTGAACACCCAGAGTTTGATGCTCATGCCACACGCAGCACACCGAGCCACACAGAAAGTGATTTTTGAGTTACCTGCTGCGAACACAAATTCCCTGCCCGCTCCCATTGCACGGGCAGCGAAGCCTGAAACGGGCCACTAATGGCTGCAATTAGCCACTAATTAACCTCAATTACTGGTGATCGCGGAGCGGGGAAGTTACACCTGGGGAAGGGACCTGCTACAAGTACTTCAGTGAGCCTCCCTGTTTTCTGCTGAGCTGCCCGGAACAAAATCCAGGTATTTTCAGCTATTTCGGGGCACCCAATCCCACATTTCCCCGGGCAGCCCTTACCTATGCACAGGCTACTTACTGAAGGCGTCGGCAGGAGGTTGTTCCATCCATGTCGAGGGGTCAGATTCATCCTGCTCTGACAGCTCCAGGATTTCCTCTAAAAAGCTGCCCATTTGTCTCCCTGGATCTGTAGTGGGGACACAAAGCAGACAAAAGTGCTCTGCAAATACCAGTCTCACCCGTGGGTACAGGCAGGGGCTGCAGACACTCCTTTGTCTTCCTTTTCCATACCCTCCCTCTGGGCTGTTGATCCCCCCAGACCCAGCTCACCACTCCCTTCTCTAAGTCACCTTCCAGCCCCAATCTCCCCCATCCCTATTTTCATACCCTCAACCCCCCTGTGGATGCAGCGGCCAGGCCTGGGAGCAGGGCAAGTTCTGCTGGAATTAGGCTCCAGGACACACCCAGGAATCCAACGCTTGTTGGGTGCCTGTGACAGCATAAAACCACTTTCAACAGCAGCACCTGATGAAGTGAGAGGTGGAACTCAGCCCTGCTGCTGGAGGTGCTTTTATCCCCCAAAGCCACCTCCCCAGTCAGAGCCATCAGCTGGGTCCTTCTCCAGCCACCACTGCACACACCTTTGAAAGGGCATCTGAAATTCATGGGCAGTTTCTCTGCCTTTGCTGGGTTTCAGCTGGATCAGCCAAGCTGGTTTAAAGGTTACCAGGGCAGAGGCACTCAGTGCACTGCTTACAGAGCTCATTTCCTTAGGAAGTAACCCTAAAATCAGCCTGGATGTCTCCAGCTGTTCCTGTTGTCCCTTGCACAGCCTCATCTGTCTCTCCAAGTGTTTCTTTCTCCCGTGGTTGCCTCCCCACGAGGACATGCATTTTTCTGGGCAGCTGATCCAGATCCTGTGTGCACCCCTGTGGCAGTGCAGGGACTGCATCACCATCCTCCTCCCACACCAGCTCTCCAGAAACTCCAAGGTGTCCCTGCCCATGGAAGGAAAGTGGAACTGGATGTTTTTTAAGGTCCATTCCAACCCAAGACCAATTAAATGCCTAAAACAACACTGGCCTGTGCACACCCTGGAGCAGGTCACCAATCCGTGGGTATTGCCCCCCAGATCATTCAGATGAGTCTGTCACACCTGCCTGGGTGTCCAAAAAGCGGGAATTAATCTGTGGCTCCATCCAGCAAGCATCCTATTTTGCTGAAATATTGGAAGTGTAATCAACAGCAGGAATGTATGTGAAGCTGCTCTGCCCAAACAGGCTTGGTCCATCAAGGGTGATACATCCAGAAATGCCTCTGAGATCTGAGGCAAGAAAAGAAACCTTAAAAAGCCCCAAATGTTCTCATGCCCAGGGACTGCTCGTTCCAGGTGCTGCTCACCAGCTCACTCCTTTGGCTCCCAGAAATTTGGGATTCTCGTTAAACCCAGAGTTAACCAGAACCTGCTCATTTGACACCATGTGGGCCACAGGGAGGTGGAGGGAACCCCATCCAGAAACTCCTGCAGCCTCAGGAGACCAGCTGGCCCAGCCTCCAGCAGCACTTTATACCCTTTTACAGCCCTGGGTGCACCAAAGTCAACCCCAAACATCTCAGCTTCCCCTTCCTGATGCATTAATTACATGAGCATTCAGACAGCTCCTCCTGCAGTGCCCACTGCCTGTTCTAGTCTTGGGAGAAACCACATTTCCCATCAGAAACTGTGGAAAGGGAGAGTCTGGGGGGCTGTGTGGGAAGGACACACATGAAGACCTGGCTATCTTACATCTCCATCGCACACTGGTGTAGGAAAACCACTCTAACCAGGAGAACATCCACACAGAAGCAAAGCTGATACACATTTTGGGACAAGACGAATTTTGCAGGCACAGGGAGCTCATCCTGGGTCCTGTAAAAGCTGGCTACTGGTTTTAACCATGAAGTAACAGCTCAGCTGCTGCTTTTTGCTTGTCTTTGCATCCCCACACGCTGGCCATGGGGGTGTGTCCGTGCAGAGGGTGCAGGGCAGCACCAAACCCCAGCACAGCCACGGAGCATCGCCCTGGATCAGAGCCTAGCTGGATCAGTGCTGGCTGTGTATCAGCTCACAGACCATTGGGACTTCTAAATATTCTGCTTTTACCTTCATGTACTTAAAGAATATCCAGCCTGGCCCCAGGATCTGCAGCCTGCTGGAGCAGGAGATGGATTCATGGCAGATTCTGTCTCACACTGAAAAGCCACAGAGGGGAACGTTTTGCAATAGCAGGAGCAGGAAGGGGGTGACCTCATAGATACTTTCTACACAAAGCCTTGGGGAGCTTCTGATTCCTCCCAGAGCTTCCAGTTTTGCTTCTTATGACAAATTGCAGGAGAAGTGGAGTCTGTGGGAGGAGGCTGGGCAAGAGCCCGTTCACCAGGGGTTTCATCCTGTCCCTGATCCTCCTTCCCTGCTGCAGTGCAGGGATGTGTGTGCTCTGAACCAGAGCTGCTGTGCTTCCCCTCTCCTGGTCCCTGGGGGACAGGAGGGGACAGGAAGGGACAGGAGGCAACCACGTCCCCCTGCAGCCCCTCACGCTGTCTGTGATGTCCCACCAGGTCAGTCCCCACCACAAGTGCCTTTAGGCACAAAAATAAATGTTTCCTGATGTTTTCTATCTGAAACGCAGAGCTCTCATGGAAAGAGTGGATTTGCACCTGCAGCAGGTGGGTGACGGCTCCCTGCAGGAAGCTGGGTGTAATTCCATAGCTGATTGCACATGGGATAAGGATTTGGACACTCATGCTGTGTCTGGATTGAGTAATGTCTCTGGCAAGAAGCAGCAAGTTTGGGAAGTGTGTAATGGTGCCTCTCGTGCCATGAGAGCCTCGAGGGATTCCTGGCTGTGGAGGGAGGAGAGGACAGACCACCCATGCAGCCACTGCCCGCCCTGGGGCTCTCCCAGCGGGCAGGAATTGGTAATGCCAGGACAAGTCCTGCACCCAAACCCATGGATATGTCTCCTCCCTGCCAACCTCCCCTCCCATGGGATCACTCCCAGAGGAAGTGTCAGAGTGTGACCCCTCCGTGTCCTCAAAGGAAGGGTGAAGGCTGAGCCAGATGGGGAGGAGGGAGAGCAAACCTTCATCTTATTTTTGGGCAGATTTTAATAAGCACAATCCTGAGCAGTGCAGTCAGACAGAGGGAGGGGGACGCCCACGGCAGGGCCAGAGGGTGGGAGCTGGAAGGGACCGGGGTGGGGCAAGATGGGGAGGATGTTCCCAAAGGACAGCAGGCAGAACCCAGCAAATTCAACTGAGCCCAGCAATTCCACCTGAAACAACCCCAGGAGAGGGAGAGGGGCTGGGCATCCCCCCAGAGCAGCCCCTCTCTGGGTTGGGGGTTACACGAGCTGTCACCATCCCTGTCCCCAGCAGCTGGGTCTGGACAGGGTCTGGCAACTCTATCCCCTCTTTCCAGGGAAGCCAGGGGCTCCTGCAGCTGAGCCTCTGTGGTAGTGACAGGAACTGTTTTCATGGAGCATCGTAAATAAAGAGGCGTTTGGTGAACACCCACGGGCAGAGCCCTGGGCCCAGCCAGGAGTTTTGGTGCTGAGGTCACCGCTGTCCCAGCCCCAGCACATCCCAGCCCTGTGCTGGGAGGAGCAGGGATGGAGGGAAGGAGGGCTGGTGGGTGCACCCAGCTCCTCCCAGCCCAGCAGGAGAAAGGGTGAAGGGAGGAAAAGGGATTAGAGCTCAGGGTGATGTTGTTCCACCTGAAAAAGCTGCCAAGTCACCTGCACCGTGGATGTTGGTTGCTCGTCCCAGAGATGATAGCAGAGGGGTGGGTGAAAGGAACAGCTCTCCAAGGCAGCTGTGATGGAAAAAAAGCCCATGTCTCCATCCTGCAAGTTTGTATTAGCGAAAGTAGGAGGATGCAGGTTCAGAACAAGCAAAAAGAAGGTTTTTTTCAGTGTGTAGTTAAACTGCGACAGGTCCTGTGGATGCTGAGCTTGTGCCGGTGTAAGAGCAGCAGAGAAGTTCAGGGAAGAGTTTCCATGGGGGTGATTTATCTACACTCCTGGAAACCACCCCTAGCTCGAGCAGTCCCTGCCCTGGGAGAGCCTGTCCCTGTGCAGGAGGAGTTGGCAGCTCTGCAGCCACCCAGCTCTGGCCACTTTGGGACAGTGCTGAAGCTCCGTGCTGCTCCAGGGATCAGCCCAGCCTGGAGCTGCCCAGGCAGCCTGGGTGGCACCAGGCAGCGATGCCAAAGAGTTCTCTGGCCCCAAAGGGCACAGAAGTCCAGTGCTGAGGAAACACATTGACACCAAGCACTAAGGAGGCTTCCAGGAGCTCTCTCTGGTCCACACATTCCTGGAAATGAATAATTGCTTCCTCTGGGACTCCCCAGCCCCGGGAAGAGGCATTCCAGCCTTGCTCTGGAAAAAGCAGCATGAGGACAATCTGAGCCATCAGGGCTCCAGGCTGGGCTCTGGCAGGGCAGGGAGCCAAAGCCCCTCCTGGTGTGACACGGATCCAGCCCGTCCTGGCCACATCACTTCCACTGAAGCCCTGTCCTTGCAGAGCCACCACACAGCACTGACCCACACCATCCTTCCCTGGGCTGTGGCCCTTTCCAGATGCCTTTGCAGTGTGCAAGAGGGATGTAATCACTTCCAGGATTTGCTGTTTGTAGCCAGAGGTGCTAATTCTGTGCACAGCGAGGGGGATCCTGCAGGGAAATGCCTGCAGAGCCACCTCCAAGTCATCCATCCCCCAGGCTGGGTCCTGCTCAGGGTCACATCCCAGAGCTCTCACTGGCCAGGAAGGTGGGTGCTCTGTTTGGGGAAACTGAGGCAGGGAGCCAAGGCAGCCCAGTTCTTCCAACAGGGTCAAAACCTGGAGGTCTTCTCATGGTCAGAGATAGCTGCAAGTCAAAGGAGTCAAGCTGAGGACATCCTCAGCCCCAGAAAATCCCATTCTGTCCTGCCTCTCCTGCGTTCCTCCTCACCCATCTGGTTAAAACACCCTCAGGGCTGGGCTGACACCTAGAAGGTCTCCAGTCACAGGGAAGGGCTGGAATCCCACATTTGAGGGTGTTCCCTGCAACAGGAAAGTGCACTCAACAGTGTCAGAGACACCAAAGCTGTCCCTGGGTGGTTACCCTGCCAGGTCACGATGAGATTTTGTGTGTGTTTGGGGTTTTTCCCTAAATGTGGGCTTTTTAATCATTTTTCACGCACCTTGACCTGTCTGGATGGGGTTTGCCTCCAACACACAGGGAGAATATAGAGCAACATAGAGGATGATTTCCTGATGTCCTTGTGACTGGTGAGAAACCATCCCCCCCCTCCCTGAGCAGGAGCACAGCAGCAGAGGACAGGGACACCGTGGCAGAGCTCCAGGAGGCAGGGAATGTCAGCAAGGGTTTGGAGAGCCCAAATGTCACACTGGTCACATTACAGGGAGGAAAGAAAAGAACTGGCCACAGATATTAAAAAAAAAAAAAAAAAAGGAAGACATGAAGAAGTGTGCAAAACTCTGGCCATTGCCACAGATCCTGATACAAGCTCTCCTGTCAGCCTCTTGGGGATCAGCTTTGATACCCAGGCCTGGGTACAGGGTTGGACAGGGCTTGGAGCAGCCTGGTCCAGTGCAAGGGGGCGGGACTGGTTGCTCTTTAAGATCCCTTCCAACCCAAACCATTCTGGACTCTATGCTTCTTTGACATTGTGTTTCTCATCCTGGCTTTCCCAGAGCTCCAGCAAAGCCCTCAGGATTCATTTCTACTGTGTGATGGAAAAGTGATGCCGAAGGGGTCCATGTCACAAAACAGTCATGGAAGTGCCCTGAAGCTTTCGGAGGCATTTCCAGGACTGGGCAGGATTATTTGGCCATGGCCAGCTAAACATGTGACTCATTCCAACTGCCTGGGCAGGGGCAGAGGAGGGGCAGGACTGAGCTCTGCTCTGGGGGGAGCAGGGACAGCCCCCAGGGAATGGCTGGAGCTGTGTCAGGGCAGGCTCAGGGTGGATCTCAGCAAAAGGTTCTTCCCCCAGAGGGTGGTTGGCACTGAACAGGCTCCCCAGGGCAGTGGGCACAGCCCCAAGGCTGCCAGAGCTGCAGGAGG